CCCTCAAGAGTTCACAATTTGTGGCTCCTTTTTGCCTTTCTTTGTTCCTTTTAAATTTTCTTTTGGATGTGAAATATTCCAATAAATATAGAAGGAAATTCCATTAACTCAATGTTATATAATTTCATTTTCAATGACCCACACATATATTTATCATGTGAGCTGATAGATAATTTATGGATTGGACCACTTCTTTCATTGATACCTTGTAGTTATGTGCAAATTCAAATTTCGAAGGGATGGTTGAAAACTTGATTTTATGTTCAGAAATCAGAATTCTGTACATTAACAGGTTTTATAAATGGTCCCCCAATTGGTTTTATGGGCACTTGCTTGAGTCCAAAACTGTCCATGAAAAAGGTGGCCCACGAATTAAATGGATCAGATGAACAATCCACACGAATCTTGGGCTCCTAATATAATAGAATTTCCTTGCTTTCATTTTGCTGCCCTGCTCATTTTTTTTTCCTTGATTTGACAGTTTTGTCTGAAAAATTTTATGAAAATTTTACCCTATATTTGTGTGTTATTAGGGAACAAAATTTGGATATCATTAAAAAAAAGAGAGGCTGTTATGAACACAACTAAAATAATCAAATGTTTGATTTTTTAAATATTTTTAAAAATATTTTAATAAATATTAGAATTTTAATTTCAATAATCATGATTCTAACAACTTCATGTATTAAAAAACCTAAGATACTGTCTGTTTATGTTTATATTACGACAACCTTAAACATATCAAATTTATTTTAAGAAAAGATGTTTTTTCTTTGATTATATTGGTTATGCTCAGGGATTAAATATTGTCTTTTGCTTAACCATAACCAAATGTGAGTGAATATGATTAACATTTTCTGAAATTTGTGTTGGATAATTTGTTCATCAAATTTAGGCCCATATTACCACCAGAAGAGTAAAAGATCAGTTAGGTTTATTTATATTGTCTTATGACAGGGAGGATCAGTTGTTTTGGTTTACAGGGCTTCAGATGATATCCTTTCGGTATATTCGACTCACAATTTGCTATTAGGTGTTCTTCATATCAATATTAATGGGTTAAAGTTGTAAAAACTAAATGTGCTAGTATTTTTTGTGGTTAGTATTGTATAATAGAATCCTAATAATAAGGGCGTGCATGGCTATAGGAATTTCAAATTCAGTCTCCTGTTCAAAATGTCATGATCAGATTGTATCGTTATTTCACTTGCTTAAAGATTGCAACGTTTTCGTTCTTTGTTCCTATAGGATTTGATCAGTTTTAATCTTGTCAGGAATAATGTTATACGTGATAGAATTCATTGGCCGATTTTGATACGCATTTGGTTGCTGGAATATTTGAAAATGGATGACTAAATGCATATTTGAGGAGGAATTTTACTTACCTGATTATGCAGTTAATATTGTCGTAGACGGGGCAAGAGAATTTATTGCTTAGCGTGAAATCAAAGGAGTTGCTTCTATTAATCAAGTTTCACATATTGCTTGGAAACCTCCTCTATCTACTTTTATTAAAATTAATGTGGATGGTTCTGTTTCTTTTAATCCAAGTGAATTGGGTATATGAGATATTGCAAGGAATTTTGATGGCTACTGGATGTTTGGGTCTGCTAGAAAAATTGGATATGGTTGGATGCTTAAAACTAAATTGTATCTATCTCATATGAGGTTGAAGCTACCGTAGGATAAAGGTTGTAGATGAGTGGTTACTGAATCAGATTCTCTACTAACAGTTAAAAAGGTTACAAGCTCTATTTTTGCACGAGATCCACTTTACCATGTTATTCATTAATGTCAATAGTTCACCAGTAGAGATTGTGGTTGTAGAATTCTTCATAGAGGCAAATTTTTGTGCTGATTATTGGATTAGCTGGGCTTTTAGTCAAAGTGATGGTTATTATATATTAGATGACCCTTCAATAAATTTGGTTTGATTAATGCAATAATACCTATTAGGGTAAAGCCTAGAGCCTTAAGATTGTAAGTAGTTTTACCACTTATTTGCACCAAAAAAAAAAAAAAAAAGCTTAAAGGGTATTAAAAGAATCCTTATACCATAACTAAAACATTATCCAAGCCTTTTTTTATTATTATTATAATCAATCAACCATTCTAATATTTATTTACATCAAATTAAGATTTTATTTGGATGAAAAAATTAATATCGTTAATTTTTTTTAATTAAGATAAAATTTTATGTAATATCAATAAAATAAATAAAAATGTGTTATGTTGCACAATTAATATGTGAGAAAATTAAATAAAATAAATTTTTTTTATTTTTTTATACCTCTTTCACTTTTTCATTAAAATCTTTTTAAGAGTTTAATTTATTGTAATTCGAAAATTACTTGATTCAAAATTTTTTTTGTAATTAGATTTCATCTAATTAAAAGTTTAATTGAATCGAAATAAAAGTTTAATGATTTGATTGATTATAATAAAATATTAAATATTTAAATGATTATTAAATTATAATTAAAAACATATTTTATTCTTTAATCAAAAAAGTTTTATCACTAAACGCGTTGACATTTTGTAATGATTAAAAAAACCATTTATTTTTTCAATGATTTAAAGGTATCATTTATATTTTTCAATAAATAAAAGAAGTTGAAATCAAGGAAGCAATAGTTAGTCAAGAGGATAATGTCATGAATAATTTGAAATACAATAAAATATTTAATATGATACTTAAATTTTAAAAATTTTAAAAATAATATATAATTTTTAAATTTACTAATTAAATCGATATTCATTTCTAATGTAATTAATTTCAAAAAATGAAAAGCGATGAATAAATAATTTTTTTAAGTTTTATTTTAATTAACAGATTTAGATTTAAAGTATTATATTAAAAAATTTTAAAGTTTAAATATTATATTAAATTTTTTACTATAATTTTAAAATTATTCGTAACATTATCCCTGATGAAATCATGACAGAGTTTTCTTCTACTTTCCTTTTTTATATAAAATAATAAATTAATAAGCAACTATTCGATTATTATTTTTTAAGAGGAAAAAATTGAAATAATCTTTTAAGTTTTTGAATAAAAAGATATATGTACATACCTTTTATATTATTGAGCTAAATGCTTAAAATCACTAGTTATATTAGTATTTTTCAAAAAGTTTTTCTATGGAAAAATATATAAAAACAGTATAATTAAATTTATTTAAGAGTTTGATTATTTATTTAATTCGATTTATATTGAATTTTATTTAAGACTTTTAAGTTCAGACCATGCTTGACTGGAAAATAAGATAGTTAAATATTGATAAAAATTATTTTTATTTAATTTTAATTTTAAAATATATAAAAATTTTAGAATATTAAAATATTAATTTTTTAAATATTTTAATATTTTATTAAGAAATTAAACTTTAAAAACTTCACAAATCCATTAAGCTTTGGTCAAAGATTTTAAAAAATCGAAGTGAGTTTGGATCTTCTTTAATTTATGAATATATTTAATATAAATGTGATAAAAATTTAGTATTAATTGATAATAAATAATCAAATTTTTATGAATGATGAGAACTTTCGTTTTTAATCGAAGATGAATGTTGTAGTAAAGATAGATTTATTTAGCTATAAAATCTAAAAGTGGAACAAAATTTAAATAAATAAAACATTTTACATTTCTTTCTCATCGGACTTTTCCGACCAACGAAAATAAATTACTTGTCTCAAATCCTAATCGATTGTCTTTGCACTAATTGTATTAAAAAACATGAAATAATGTTTTATTTTTTTTTATTTCCTTTAAAAATATACAAGGAAAAGAATGCGAAATAACATTAATTAAGTTTTTGAAAATTATTTTTAAAACATATTTTTTTGCCTCACTTTAAAAACATCTTAGTAAGTGTTCTAGAACACTAATTAGGGTTGGGACAGATGTCAGAAATAGATAGAACCGTCAGTTTGAAGAATACCTAGCTGGGGAGCCAACGAGTCTTCCCTTCTCCAAGGCGTTTCTTCTAGAGAGAAATATATAAATAATAAAACAAGGAAAAGCGAAAGACACGCGTCTATCCATCTGCTGTTTGGTTTTGTTTTCAGTTGTTTGTACTTAAAACATCATCCATTTCTAAAAAAAATAAAAAATGCAGTTTTTTGTCCGAAACGTATTTTGAAAAAAAAAAAAACCCCTAAAAATAATAATTTCAAGAGAGAGAAAACGGGTGAGCTCTTAATTTTCTTCCTCTGTCTCTCCATAGCATGCTTCTTGTTGCTCTATACATATAAATAGATAAATAAATAAAACAAATAAAAAAATTTTGTGATAAAATTTGTGTGGGTGATTGGTAGGTGGAAATGGAGAAGGAGAAGGAGAGTGGCAAAGAGGATGTTGTTTGCTTAGAACTCCCTGCTCCTCCTGGTTGGAAGAAAAAGGTTCTTTTTCTTTTTCTTCTTATTCTTCTTCTTTATTTTAATTTGAATTGCTTCAATTTAACACGGTTTCTACTAATTTTGATTCATTTGTGGTTTGGGTGTTTGAATTCTGTTAATTTAAGCGTATTGCTCTCGGTTTCGTGTGGTTTTAATTTGTTTTATTTGGGAATTTGTGATAGAATTTTGGGAACTACTGATAATTTTTAAGTAGGGTTACTTTGTTGTGCCTCTAACATTAATGGTAAATTATGAGTAATTTTTCTGTTTTGAGTTTCTTTTTTTTTTTTTTTGCTCTGCTTGTTTGTGAACATTTCTTGGTTTCCCAATTTATTGGAAGCAAAGCGATAGCCAGGGTTCTGTAGAGAGGCCTTTCTCTGTAATTTCTGTTTTTCTGTTCTTAAATAGTTTTAGGGGACAAATAAGCAAAGTGAGGTATCCCGTATGAAATACTAGTACTATTAGTTGGAAGTTGTAATGTTCATTAGGGAAATGCTATGTTAACTATTAGCTATGAAAGAATTTAGAAGGGTGTGAGTCAATTAAACATTGTTTTGAAGTTTTCTGCAATTTTTTGAAATTTTAATATAATATTTTTATAAATCCAAAGTCAACATTGTCGAATAAGAATTTATTTAGTGGTTTACTACTAATTCTTTGTTGATTTATTGTGTTTTATAAATTTACTTAAGTTTGATTGTTTCCATTTTGGTTTAATATGATTGAGGTTTTAAACGTTATTCTCCCGAATGTGTGAATAATTTTCTGCGCAAGTGCACAATAATCTTTATGTATATGGTTGTTGTTATTTCTTGGGCTGATATTCTTAAGTTCTCTTATGGCTGTGATTTCATTTTCCTGTTTAAGAGTGTTCTGATCATATTAGGTGCTTCCAAATTTTGTAGTAGTTATGTTTTCTCTGAACCATTTGTGTGAGAGTACCCTCCTGGTCATGTGTGGACTAAGGACAAAGGAGGATTTTCGGTATCATTTTGGATAGAATAACCATTTTCATCAGTTCAAAAGGTTCTCCACATTTGTGCTTATATATATATATATAGACACACACACACACACACTTTTGGTATGAAGTGCCAACTAGTGGCATTCTTTTGCTTTAACTGACTCATTATTGTAAATGAGTCATAACTTTCCAGGGTTTTTTCTTCCTTGAAATAATAGTATCACCCATACTTTAGAAATGGAGAATCAGTTGCATCATTTATCTTGAGTCTTGATAATTCATCATGCTTTACACTGTCTTACCTTGTTGGCTTGTTATTATATACGCTATTTGAAGATGACATGCATATTTCTTTTGTTGTCTATCTTAATCTTTTGGAAATTGTAATCATGTTATTACTTGTACAAATTAATTGGCTCTTTTCATGAGGTGCAGTTAACTTCTTTGACCCAACATTCCTTTTTTTTTCCTCTGATTCAATGGTACTCTTATCAAGTTACCGAACTTGGCAATTTCAAATGTTTCTGGGCTTTCCATCTTAAAAATCCTTGAAACAAGTTTGATCAGTTTACCAACCGGTCAGGATCTACACTGGTTTTGTCTCGTCATTTTGACCTATGCAGGGCTTTCAGTGCTTCTGATCATGCTCCCTTCATTTTCTTTTTCATTTTTAACCTTATTAACTGCATGTGTTATGACTTATGCATGGATGCCACATGGTGGGGATAATTGCTTCAGTTTTACATCCTGCAGAGATTGAGCAAAGTAGAAAATATCCAAGCGTATTGTTCGGTCTCACTTCTTGACTACCATAGGCCATAAGTTAAATGGCAATTTAAATTGTGTATTTAAGTTGCCTTAAAGTAAATTAGTTTTTAGTTTGGGAGTACAACAAATATTGTGTGTATTCTGTGGTTAGTGAAGAAATTGTGAATTATGCTACGTTTTTTGCATAATTTTCTTGAAATAGATGCCTGGTCATCAACCTGCCATAGATTTTTGTGTGTATCTTTTGTGGATGATTTTCTATGTATTGTTTTGTTTAAGTTCATCAGGAGGTCTATACCCTTCAAACTTACAGCAGTCTAAGCAGACAGACTGCTTCATCTGTTGGCACTTTAAATTTGATTGACTGTTATGTTATGTGCTTCAAACTTAACATTTGAATTTGATTTCTAGCTTGCATTTTCTGCATGCATTTCTATAGCTGGAGACTTTCATATAAGATTTTCTGGTCTTGAATTTCTTGATATTGGGTTTTATATTATTATATACTTTTCCCATCTACAAGCCATTGCAATCTCAGGATTTCTTTATGTTTGCAGTTCATGCCGAAGAAAGGGGGGACTCCTAAGAAAAATGAGATCATATTCACTGCTCCCACAGGAGAGGAAATTAGTAACAGGAGACAATTGGAACAGTACCTTAAAGCACATCCTGGTGGTCCTGCAGTATCAGAATTCGATTGGGGCACTGGTGAGACCCCTAGGAGATCAGCCAGGATTAGTGAGAAGGTAAAAGCAATGCCAACGCCAGAAAGTGAGCCTCCAAAAAAACGAGGCAGAAAATCTTCGGCTTCAAAGAAGGATAACAAAGAATCAGAAACTGCCCCTGAGCGAACTGAGGAGATTAAAGACGTTCATGTGGAGGAAGGTAAAAAATCTGAGAAAGATAATTTGGAGGGAGAGGCTGGAGTGGTTGATGTAAAGGAAAATGAAAATGAGAATGAAAATAAAACACAAGATGCTGATAGCAAAACTGAACCCACTTCTCAAGAAGTGAAACATGGAGAAGATCCTAATACGTCTGCTAATATCGAAGAAGGTAAGGAAAATGCCAAAGCAGTATCTGAAAAGTTCAAGGGCACACAGGACGGAGTTGAAGCTGATGCTTCTGGAGTTGAAGCTGATGCTTCTGGAGTTGCCCAAAAGGAAAAGGAAGGTTTGGAGGGTGCAACGTCTCAGGGAAAGGTTGAACAACCAGTGGCTGAAGCGGAGAAAGAGCTTGGATCTGGGCAGCGGGACAAACCAGACATATTCATTACTGAGGAAAGAAAACATGAGGTGGACGGAGAAGGAAAAGGGGAACATGAGAGGAGCACTACCGAATCTTGAGGAGCAATCTAGGAGAAAGAAGCAGCAAATTGCGATAAGGGACAAATGCTTCAGTTGTCAATGAAATTAACAAGAAAGCTGAGGAAGCAATTCAGAATGGCAGTAATGCAAGTAATGCAGGCGAGGTCAAGCCTTGACTTACTATATGCAATAGTTTAACATGATGCAGGATTCTCTTTCACCCCCTTGTGACCCTTTTAAATTTTTGAAATCTTTCAAATGACTGTAGCTTCGTTAAGGATAGTAACCGATTGTTCATTGAGACATCTTTCTATATAATGGTAGATAGCTGTATAATGTAGCTGTGTCAGATGTAATGGTCAGACCTGTAGCTTGCAGTTATATATCTAACATGTAACATTATGGCATCCAATACTGCAAATGGATTTTATATTCAGTGTTAAGTAATAAGTTACAGTAGCGGATGAAACTCCTAAAGCTCTTCTGGTATGTTTCTTCCTTCTTTTCTTTTTTTTTCTTGATTAATTTGATAAACCTTCCATGGCAAGCTGTAAACTCTGTAGTAACAACGCAAAAAATCCATTCTCTCATAAAAAAATTTACATGAAGTTTTTAAAGTTTTTTTTGTTTAAAATAATTTAATAAAAACTTTAATAAAAAATTTAAATCAATAAATTGACATAGTTTAATGTGAAAATTAATAATATATAAAAAAATTTATTAAAAATATTATTTATAATTCAAATTTGATCGATATTTTTTCAACGGTAAAAATTTTGTTAATATTATTAAAAATATTTATCTAAATATATATATCAAAATTTATTAAAATTTTTTAAACTTTGCATTCTTAATTTATATAACGAAAATTTTAATCTATCAATTTTAGTTTTTATTTAATCGTTTCCATTAGAAAACTTCATAAACTTACTTAAAAAACTTCGTCTAAATCTTTCCTTCTTCCAAAATGGTATTGTCTTGGATGTGTTTTTTTGTTTGTTCTTTACCCTGGGTAAGTTGGGGAAATGGCCAACCATGAAATGCCCAACAACCATTATGGACCATGAAATATTTAAATGTGATTGTGCCAATAACCATTAACAGCCAGTACAACAGGAAGAAGGCAACTCTCTGGTGTGTGAGGTGGAGCAAAATGTTGAAGAAACGTCTTCAATTCATGCCTATCTTGCAATATGAGAGATCACATGCGGCATTTATACCCTGGTAGGGGTAGCCACTGCCCAGTCCTAAACCAGTCACATAAGTTTGCGCCAATAAGAATGCTGATTTTGTGAGTTTATTGAGTAAAATTGCAGATTCCTTGCTCTTGCAGATTTTTAAAATAACTGGTTTGCTTACTGATAAAACAGGATATGCAGTTTACTTCAAAGACTGCATCAGAATTTATGGTGCTTACTGAGAAATCATACTAACAACCGAAGCTCAAATAAACTGTGCAAGGTATTACAACTTTTACGAACGAAATAGTCTGTTAATCTCAACTTTTGGACAGATGAATTTTGTGAAAAAGGAAAAAAAAAAAAAAAAAAAAAACAGAGGTAATATAAGATTCCAGTAAAATTCTCCAGAGGAGGATAAAATAAATCTTAAATGTACTTCTCAATAGAAGCTAAAAGGATCAAAGTGAGCATCATCCTTTTCTTCAAAGTCCTTTAAGTTGTCCAAAGAGCCCTGTCAAGGTTGTCCATTTCTCAAATGCACTTGCTGACGCCACAAATGCTACTTTGGATGATTCAACATCATTTTTAGTAACTGCAAAGTGCAATGCAAACAAGAGAAGGCCATAATTAGGGCTGTAAATAAATTAAATATCAATGGATGAACGAATGTATATGGTTTGTTCATTTATTTTTAGAAGTATTCGAGCTCAGCTCGTATTAGTATAAAAATTGCTCTGTTCGCTCATTTAAATAATAAGTTAGTCATGTTCGATTTGTATTCAGTTCAATTAATTTAAATGAATTCGTTCTTGAATATTAAACGAATATATTCATGAATAATAAACAAATTATAATCAAACAAATTTAAACAAATAAACCCTAAATGAACATAAACAAATCCAGACAAAAATAAACGAACCATAAAATAGGATTAGATTAAAGGATAAAATTATAATTTTATTAGTATTATTATAAACGAACAGCAAACAAATAACAAACGAAAAATAAACAAACGAGTTTTAAACAAACTTTAAAGGAGCTTGTTCATGAATATAAACGAACTAAACAAACTTCTGTTCATATTCAATTCGTTTAATAAATAAACATAAAAATATTGTTCAAAATCGTTTGTTTACTTAATAAATGAATATAAATGAACAGAAATTGAACATGTTCACAGACAGTTCGTCCAAAACTTTAGTTCTTTAGACCCCCAGCCATAATCAGAACATAGGGCTCATAAATTATGGTTTTTATGTAAATTAATCCTCTATATGTCATTCACACAGATCAGTTTAAATTGTGGTGTTGCTACAACGGATGGTGGTTAGGAACGGCTGTTTTCTGTGATTCTCTCACCTGGATTATGGCAACCATGTATTTACAGATATGCGAGACAGATATCTAATATACACTTCGATTTCAGTGCTAGAATATGAAATGTTATTTGCAAGAATGACCCACCTGATGAGATCAACGAAGTTAATGAAGAATTAAACGTCTCCACCTGAGTCTTTTCTTCAGGACCAGAGCTCAGCTGTTAAGAAAGCAAAGAAAAACACTTTAGACATTTTTGTAACATAAGCCACTACACGAGAATGTCATATACTCTTCAACAAAATCCAAACCATAGAAGTCAGATGCTAATATGACAGAAAAATTAGAATTCTTGAAATTTTAGATCTTAAAATGTTTTCTACCAGTGGGGCTTTCTGCAAGGGTATAAGATTGTGCAAAATTAATATACAGACATTGTGTGAAGATCTATTAATGACCTTGCTGAAGGCTATATTGGCATTCTTGACCCAATCTGTATCGGTGCTTCCCCCAAGAACTGAACTGGCTGCGGACAGATCATTGTTTTCTATAGCTTGACCTATTTTGCTTAACTTGTATACCAGATCCTGCAAATACCCTGCAAGATTTCAATATTTCATTTCATTACATAATGTTAAAGACAGCACCTTAGACAGGAATATTTGCTGCTGAACTAGAGAAAATGGCATGGAAGGCACTATAAACTACATTTATCCTATGAAAAGCCATCATTTCTTCATCGCGTAATGGTAAGAGAAGGAAAGATTATGAAGATACGATCATCTGGTTGATTCCAGATAGCTGTTTAAAGATAAGTGGCATGTGCCTATCACAAATTCAGTTTCAGGCTCGTTCAAGCCAATTAAGCCTTAAAATCTTACTTATAAATACTAGGCAATGGGGTCAGCTCCTCCATCAATCTGGTCAATATAAAGCCATGATTTCAAAGATGTTCATGTCATAAAATGCAACCAAAATACCTAATACAACGCACAAGGAACATTTTCCATGCCAATGTCCAACAAACAATGTTAAAAGAGGGCATGTTAGTTAGCCTACCAAGAGTGAAGTTCTTGAACTCCCAACTGCTACCGCGAAATGGGAAAAATCAATTAATCAAAATTTTCATGATACACAAGAAGAACACAATTTCCAGTAGGATCATATCTTGAAATGCTCAATCCAATTAAAGCCTAATCAAAGCTCAAAGAAGCACATTTACCACCTAATCTTCAATTCTAGGTAAACTATCATCACAAGGGAATTGAGACTCAAACAATATTCAGCGAACTTCAATTAAACATATAAAATAAGGAACAACACAAAATTGTGGTACAAGAACTTATAGGTTCATTCAACTTATGCACATAAAGTAGTTCTGTGATTTATGGAAACAAATAATTAAAGCACCAATCAATACCTTTCTCCTGGGCTGATGAACTGATTACTCCTTGTCTTTCAAGCCTCTTCTTTCTATCTCTCTTGACTTTCTCCAAAAGTTCTTCATCATCATCAGCCTCTAGAATTGCTGCATTGGCATTGAAGCAACCATTACCAGCCAAGACTAAGCTGGTGATGAAGCAAAGGGAGAAGCCTCTTTTGGTTAAAGCTGGAGAGGGGTGCTGTGATTCATTGAATGCTTTGCAGAGGGTTCCTCTTCTTTTGACATTTTGGTTGTTGAGGTAAACTAATGTTGGTGTTAATACTGATGATGATGATGATGAAGAATATGAAGAAGACGTTGAAGGGGACAGAGTTGAGGACAGGAGGGAGTTAGCAGTTGAGAGAAAAGCAGTTGACATTTAAAAAAAAAAAAAAAATCTTTGTTTTTCTGATAAATTTGTGGAATAAGTGAGAGGTACTGGCACTTTCAGAAGATAAGATTGCTAGATTCTGTTACCGGCTCCAGTCATTTTGCATATGGGTAAGGGGGTTTCTGTCATTTGACCACAACTTAATGAAAGAATTAAATGTATATTTGGATCGAAAGTGATTAGGTATAATTATGTGAAAACCTTACACTATGTGAAATTCATTTTCGTAAATTTTGAAATGTTTATAGAAATGTAAATTCATATGCACTTAAAAATATCCTTTAGAAAATTATAGAAATAAAATTTTGTGATACAAGATTTTATAAAAAAAATTCATAAACCTAGATTACAAATTTTTTAAAACATCAATTAAGTTTTAATTTCGGATAAATCGAGTAGTCAAAAAAATTTATATTTAGAGTTTATTTTATTGTTTTAAATTGAATTCAAAGTTTGGCTTAGAATTAGATTAGAATGGACAGATTGAGAGAATGAATTAAAAACAATGGGTGCAAAGGGTATGAAAAAAAAATGTTGGGATAAGGTGTAATTAATAAAAATTTTAATTTGCATTTTGAATTTTAGATGTATGTATTAATGGGATGTAATGAGCATTTTTGAGGCGTATTTAAAATTTCTTATAATTTAATTTATCAAAATAAATAATAAGTCATAATCTGAAAACCTCCATGTCTATTTCATTAATTTAATGTTTTGCACTAAAATTTAAAGTCCACTTAATACAGCAAAATCCCAACTCAAACATGTTGGAGAATTATCTGATCTTAGTCTTACATGGTGGAATAACTTGTTGGTTAACGGTCATTAATTTTTAAAAATTAAAAATTATTATGTTTAATATTAGTAAATTTAATATTATTTCATTTAAAAATATCAAAATAATTATGTATATTGTAATAATTATTCAAATTAATAACGTCAATATTATTTAAAGATAATAATTTATAAAATATTAGTAATATTTTATTTATTTTATAATAAATTATAAGTAAATTATTAAATTAATAAATATATTTATTAATAGATAAATTAATATTATTATATAAATTATGTAAAAAATTAAACTAAAAAAATAAAACTATAACTATTAAAACCATAACAAAAGACTATATTATATATAAAAAATATTTTAAAAAACTTAAAAGAAAGCACACAATTTACTTTTGAATTTAGTGCAATGAATATTAATTTAAAAATAAAAAAATTTTATAATATAAAGTAAAATTTTATATTTGATACATTAAGATCATGTATATACTTCATATTATATATGTTAGTTAACTAACCATTGCCACTTTATTAATAATTAAACTTAAAATTTTGAAAATTCTATAAATAAATATCTTAAATTCAACTGTTTAGCTTGGTAAAGAAGATTCATTTTTTTATGTTGTATTTGATACAAAAGCTTTTAAATTGATTTAATAAACTCAAATTTGTTTGAACTCTTCGAGCATAGTAACAGACTAACAGTGAACGTTATGGGTGAATAAAAAGGAATATGCAAAGTGACAGTTACAACTAATAATATCGGCAAACTCAGGCTTTGATTTGAAAAACATAACCCAAAAAAATCCACACCACCATGACCCGTCTCGACCACCATAATTCGGCCGTCAACCACCAGTCCATTAATGAAGCAATAATTTTGATAGGATTTATCTTAAATATCATAATTTCATATCAAAAATTATAAGAATTTTGAATTTATTGTATATCTCACATTAAGAGTTTAGTAAATGTATAAAATGTATCACTTTTATAAATAAGATATTTTGATTTTAATTTGATAATCTTAGATAATTAGACATTAAAAAAATAGTTAAGTGATTAGGCTATTAAATGATGTAATTAAGTTTTTGGTTAAATTTTGAGTAAGAAATTTTTTGTGACTTTTCTTAATTCAAATGTCTCACAATTGTAAAGATTTATTTGTTAGTGGATTGAGTTTAGAGTAGGTCATTTTGAGTTGAACCGAAACAAATATATTTGTATGTGTTTTTATTATTGATTTGAACTTGTTATTTTGTGTGTGGGTGCTGTGTGTGCATGTTGATTTCTTAACAAGTGATATTAGAGCTGTTGTGATCCCTAACAAGTTAAGATTTCATTATTTGATAGAAAGTGCAATTTCATGTTATGGCAAAGTATGATTCAAAATCTGTTAGTATAATAAGAGTTGGATCAGGTATCAGAAAGTAATGAGCCTGAAGAAATATCTGACGATAATTAGAATAAAATTCAGAAGAAAACTGTTAGTACTATTAAATTGGCACTAGTCCCAAAGGTAAAGTATAGTATGTTAATTGAGAGTACTTCAAAAAGTTTATGAGATAAGTTTGGAGATATTTATACATCGAAGTCGTTAACTAACAGATTATATTTAAATGTGGATTTATATTCTCTGAAGATGAAAGAAAGTACGAGTCTTCATAATCACCTAAATGAGTTTAATAGATTAGTTTCTCTATTAATGATGATTTATGTTGATGATTTAAAAAATGAAAAGAAGCTTTAATTTTGCTATTATCTTTTCTTAAGTCTTATAGACCTTTAGTTCAAACTTTGTTGGTAGATAGGTCTACTTTGAAATTGAATGATTTGACTGCTCTGTTGCATGAGAACAAAAGGTTTATGGGAACACAGAACTTATTACCTGAGGGAAATACACTAGCTGTAAAAGGTTTTGATAGAGAGAAAACTCAAAAGATAATTGATGGATCAAGAAAAAATTTCAAGTCAAGAGATAGAAATTATAGTGATATAGAATGTTATTATTATGGTGAAAGTGACATAATGGCTGCTTTTAGAAAAGTAAATGATGAAAAAAAATCGGATGAAGTAAAGAGTGATACTGCTGTTATTGTGTTTAATGATGATGATATTGTTTTGACGACTTGTATGGATAAGACTAAACACTTTAAAAGGTGATAAAGTTGAAATTTAGATTCAACTACTACAGTCCATATTTGCAATAATAAAAGTTGCTTTGTGAAGTTGAAAGAGAATGAGAAGTATGGAAATATTGTGGCTACCAACAATGAAAAGGTGTAGATTCAAGACATTGGGAGTGTTTGCCTTAGATCTTGTAATGGTATTATTAGGATGCTTTGTCATGTAAGGTATGTACTTATAGACATCAGATTTTATCCGGGTCTATTAGATTAATTTTTGTTTTCAAGTTTTGTTTATTAATATTTTTAGTAATTAATAATTAAATATCATAATCAATAAAAAAATAAAAACAAATAATAAAAATAAAAATGAATAAAAAAAGACAGGGGTAACAATAATGTCGTGCACGGCACCACCTACCCTTGCCATATCCTGCAAACTTTGTTCACCCTTGAACCACCACTGTTAACACCCCATTTCATGCCAAAAGCCCCACGCCCTGTCAATCCCACATCTTTACAAAATCGGACCTCTCCCAAGCATTGATCCTAGCTTTTTCCCTTCACTTGTGCGAAAACACCTCTAGAACACACCAGAACCCCACACAGACACCCTGCTCTCCCAAACCAGAAATCCCACATAGCACCCTACTCTCCTAAACCAGAGAACCTAAAAGGTTAGACTCTCAAACACCCTACTCTCATAAACCCAAAAAACCTTAGTTCTCACACCCAAAAAATAAAAAAACTCTTGCTCCTGCACCTAACGAACGTCCTAACTATCATTTCCCCACAATACCCATAAAAACCAAAAATCCACACAGAAAAAAAAACACAAAAAAATCAAACACAATCATCTCCGTAGGAATGAACCCAGCATCGAGCCACCTATAAAAACGAAAAAATAAAAATCACATCAGTTTTAGCTTTTTTTTTAAAAAAAGAGGGAAGACAGAAACTTTGAGCTCCAATCTACACCGTTCAAGGCTATTTTTGGTAAAAGAAAGACGGGATCCGAAAAGAGCATATTGAGAAGAGTCTTTTGGTGCATTTTGGCTTTATCCGACCACCGACAGCGACCGCCGATGGTGGCCAAATAGGCAGTCGACGCGAAGGTCTAACACTAGATTTTGGCTAAGCCGGAGAGAGTTTTTTTGGAGCTGGAGGAATTTTTTTTTAAAAAGGGTTTGGAATGAACTAAAATTTTTTTTTTTGGTTTTATATAAAAGGCAAAGCCCAAAATGATGTCGTTTTGAGACTCCAAAATCCGTACGTTGACCCGCGACCAAACCTTGGGTCTGCGCAAATCGACCCATAGATCCACTCATTCAACAGCCTCTGATCAGTTCAGTTGAACTGGATCAGACTGAACCAAACCATTGACCGATTGTCCGAACCGTTGATGAACCTTCGAATCGGTCTGAATCGTCGAACTGGCCAAACCAACATTGACCGGACCGTTGATCGATTTGGTTCAGGTATTTTTTTTAATTTTTTATATATTATTATTTTTGTTATTTTGAGCTTTATTATTAATATTTATATATGATAAAATTATGAAATTTATTAGAATAAATATTTTATTATTTTTAATAATAATAAGAATGAAAACAAAGTAGGATAATAACTAAAAAATATATAGTAAAAATGCTTAAAAAATAATAATAAGAATAGAATAATTTTTTTGATGTTTCCTGTCTAGATATTGGAAGAAATACAATCATGTTTTAAATAATGATAATTTTGTCTAGATGTTAAAAAATTATTATTTTTTTAAAAAAATACCAAATAAGTTAATCATAATAATATTACTAAATTTTCATAAAAAAGATTTTTTTAATTAATTTTCAAAAATCATAAAAGTCGAATTTGCTCCGAAAGTCCACCTAAATGTTGAAGATTTTTAGAGATGTTCATATTTTTTAAAAAAATTAAAAAATCTAAACCCTAAAACCCTAAACCCTCCAAATCTCAAAACTAAACCATAAATCCTCCAAACCCTAAAATCAAAATTTCAAAACTAAACCCTAAACCCTTCAAACCTCAAAACTAAACCTTAAATCCTCCAAACCCTAAAATCAAAATTTCAAAACTAAACCCTAAACCCTCCAAACCTTAAAACAAATTTCTAAACCTTCCA